TGACTGCACCATTTACTGCTTACCATAAATCCCGAATTACCCATTTCAGAACTCTCCTTAAACAACTTACCCATCGCATTCGCCGCCTCAAATCCGCTAGACCCACTACTAAAAGAGCCCAGTATATCAATTACCAACAGATTCAAGCTCGTCGCAATTTACTTGCTCACAACTACAATTGTTTACATCATCATCAAGATTATTTAGATCTTCTTTCTGGTTGCTAATCACTGTTTATTATTTCACAGATGTCTCGTCCAAGGCCTCCTTCAAAGGCTTTGGCCTCCTCTTCCTCTAAACCAAATCAACTCATTGTCCCTCCTCCTTTGGAGTCAGTTACCCCCTCTTATTCTCTCGAACTCATTAACCGTTACCAAACCCTTGGTACTATTCAACGCCCTGACTATTCATCTGCATTGGCCTCTGATCCTTTTGTATCTAGCCAATCGGTTTCAGTTACTCCATTCCCAGTTAACCCTATTAAATCATCTCGATCGGAATATACCAATTCCCATGTTACCAACCTGTTCTATAAAGAACCCAGTCACCCAAGAAATCAAACCATCAATGACATTGCTAAATTCCATTTTGGCTCTGGATGCCATTTCACCCTTTCCCATCCAGAGAAAACCCTAGCCTATTACAAAGATATTTTAATCAACCATCATTCCATATTAATCAAGCCAATTTAGGACCGCACCTATGCCTATAAGGTCCTATACCATTCACTTTATATTCACAACATTGTTTCCATGGCTGAATGGGGAAATCCTAACCAGCTTCGTGACCTACCTGGTCATTCTATTCCATACAATTATCATGATTACGTTGATGCTTGGTTCAAGATTTTCTTGTACCAAAATGAAACTTTCAGTCATTCCTGGTTCATCTCATTTGATCAAAAATTCAAATCTGAGTTACCAACTTGGTTTCTGAGATGGTGGTCTCACTATGGCGCCATTTCAGCTATCCTTCCTGATGATCTCAAAAATATAATTCATTATTTCAACTCTGTTTACCCATTTTCTGCTCACCAGAAGCAATTTCCCTTATTACTCATATTCATTGCCAAATACAAGGTTCCCTGGATATTCAAATGGAATTATGGGATTGATGATAATATTATCATCCGCCAACACACAGTTAAATGGTGGGATAAATTCAATGTTCCCAGAATTCTTGAAATTGTTCCAGCAGAATTTCCACCTGATCAATATGCTCCAACTCCTGCTCTTGCTCAAGCCCAGCAGAACCCAACTGCTGCATTCACTCAAGGCAGCCAGCCCAGTCTTCCTCCAGTCAACCTTGGCAGCCCCTCATCCAGTGGCTCCAAGCCCAAATCAACAAAATCAAAGTCCAAAGCTGTTGCTGCTCAAACAGCCCAATCAAAGCCTAAATCAAAGACCAAAGTCAAGGCAAAGCCCATTCCACCTCCTGTTCAGCCCAAAGGCAAATCCAAAGGTAAAGTCCAATCATCCAAAGAAGACATGATCCAGTTAGCCCATCAACTGTTGAATCAAGCTAAAGCTCAATCTACCGATTCAGACAGTTCAGACGGGTCAGCCCAGATCCATTCCTCTGAAGAGTCAACCAATCAGTATTCAGGTCCCGAGTTTCAAGATGCTCAGGATCCATTTGTTTAATCAACCTTGGATTCCATATAAATACAAATTAGCTTCAATCAATACTCTTTTGAGAAAAGCTGCTAAATTGTATTTATATTGATTCATAATTCACATGTTCCACCGAAAGTAATGAATAGTAAAAACTACTGTTCACTTTTACTGTTCACCGTCACTACTGTTCACTTTTACTGTTCACCGTCACTATTCAACCAATCAACTTTTGCTAAAGGCTGCTCAGTTGTGTAATCACTCCACCGAAAGCATCAGACAGCATCTGCTTTTCACCTGCTCGGCCAGCTGCTTTCAGAATTCACATGCTCACTGTTTTGCTTTTATTTCTATATATTGTAATCAATTGTAAGCATTCAGGCATTCTAAAATTTTCTTCTCCATTTTTGTTGTAAGAAAAAACACAGAGTGTTTTGAGAGCCTTACCAGTTCCCTGTTATAACTATTTAAGATCCTTGCAGTTGCTACTAATACAATTGTAAGTTATTTTATGTTTTAATATCAAATGTTTTAATATCAATATTTTAATGTGTTTTAATATCAATGTTTTAATGTGTTATTTATTCCAATGTTTGATCTGGGTTTGATTTCATAATCCATCTCCTTCATATATATATGCTGCTTCCGCCATTTTGGTATATATATATATATATATATATATCACTCACATTCTTATCTTCATCATCATCTTTATCGTTATCATTAACAATCTATGCAATTTTGTCATTTTACCAATCCAAATCAAACCAAACTCACATTTGAAGAATATGTTTGTAACAAAATTAACTGGACATAAACAGAGTTTCAACTTACAGCAATGAAAAAATATAGAGTTTCGAACAAATAGCAACAATGAAAGAACACAAAATTTCGAATACAAAGTGACAATAGAGGAACACAAAGCTCCAGTGGAACAATGGAGGAACATAATATTATTTCACCATCATACATAAACTAGAGTTTTTAAACTCTACCAAATTAAGAGTTTCGAAACCTTAGCGCAATGAAACAATACCACAATTGTGAATGAAACTGATCAAAAAAGAAAAACGTAAATAATAGTAACTACCAAAATAGAGGTAGTAACAAAAAAGAAAGGTGTATATCATTTTTCTATGTAATACATATCAATAATAGATATAAGGGTATAATAGTCCAATAAATAATATAAATCAGGAAAAAATAATCTCATGGAATAAAAGTACAAATATATAAGACTAAGTAAGTTATAATTTTCCTTTGTGGATTTATTGGGTTAGAACACATCCAAATAAAATTTATCAATGAAAAAATATTTTGAAATTTTTAAATTGTATTGTGTAGATTTAAAGTTTTGTTTTTTAATTTTTATTTTTGAAATTGTTTTTTTTTTGCTATGGACTAGAGAGGTGTTATTATGCTTAATGGGCCCACTTTTGAATCCCGTTTTGATAATCTGAACCATTCGTATTATAAGGTTCGTTGAGTACATCATTCTTGTAAAAAATAAAATCGATCAAATACAAAAACTACGTATTCATATCAATTTTTTATATATTATTTATTTTTTTATCGACGTGATTGTCGTTATTTCATTCACTTAATTTTTTATAAGAATGATATACTTAATATACCTAAAATATAAATAATTCAAACCAACAAAACAAAATCTAAAAATAAACTCATTGAGCCCACCAATTGCTCTCCAATCCATTGAAGCGGAGTCCATGCATTTAATGGTTAACTTGTAACGGTGACCTATATTTCATGGGGCCATGGCTATTATTGATTGGGCTGGCTCCTCTCCGATCTGATCCTGGATTGGAGGATATTGTTGGACTTGTAAAGATTTATTATAGGTTTCGTTTTAATAATTAAAATCGTTTAATGTGTATAATTTATCGAGTATTATATGTTTGTAAAAAATATTTTGATTAAATATCGATAACTATGTGATCAAATCAGTTATGAATAAAAAAATAGACGGTAAAAAAATAAACAATTAACAGAAATCTGATTCGATAAGATAGCTATTGATATCCGATCAATATAATTTTTTACAAACATACAGTACTCTACAAATTATACACATTGAACGATTCGAATTATGAAAATAAAATTCATGATATGTCTCCATAGACTTAATAATATCCTCTAATCCAATAATAGAGGGAAGCCCAACTCTTATTTATTAATTTTTTTGATAAATTGACCTCACCTCAATAAATGAGGGCCCACTAGCCTCCAAAATTGATCCAGTCTTTATGAAATTAGGTGATCTAATTTTTTCTTCTTTGTTAAAGAAATCTCCAAGTCTGTGTTTGGTAAAGGCAAAATTTTTAAATCATTTTTCAAAATCTATAATTAAATATATAATTCAAAATTATCTAAAACTCATTCAAAAATTCATTTCAAAACTTATAACTAAACATATAATTCAACATTTTTTTCAAAACTCAAAACCAAACTCTTTTTAAAAGTTTATTTTAAAATAAAAAATTTTAAAAAATATATTTTTATTTTATTTTTTAAAATCATGATTTGAGTGTCAAGTCGTGTTTTAAGTTATGAATTTTGAATTGAGTTTTGAAAAAAGAAAATTCGTTTGATTATGAGTTTTGAAAAGAGTTTTGAATTATATTTTAAAATATTTTAGATTTATTTATTTTAAATATTTAAAAAATATATTTAATTTTTTTAGGATAAATATTTTATATTTTAAATATTTATTTATTTATTTTAATATGCACCATATTTCATACATTTATGTGCTATATTTTTTAAATATATAATTTCTTAAAAATATTTTTTTATTTTTTATTTTAAATATTTTATTTTATTTTATGAATACATTTTTAAATATTTTAATTTTTTTGTTATGTGTTTGTTATTATTTGAGTATAGAGTTTTGAAAGTAATGTAGAGTTTAAAATTATGTGTTTGGCTATGAGTTTTGAAATAATTTTGAATTCAATTTTGAGTAAAATATTTGGTTCCGATTTGAGTGTGAAGTTGTTTTTTGAGTTTAAAATATTAAAATTAAAAATTAAAACATTTATAAAATAAAATAAAATATTAAAAATAAAAAAATAAAATTTTCTTAAACATTTGTTAATATTTAATAAAAATAAATCTAAAAAATTCAAAATTCAAAAACTTAAAACAAATTCAAAACTTTTTTCAAAATTTAAAAATTCTTTTCAAAATTCATAATTAAACAAATTTTTTTTTTCAAAACTCAACTCACAATTCTATACTCAAATTACAATTCCAAAAAAATAATCACAATTTGAAAACTAAACCAAACAAGACCTATTGTTTCCCATTATTTCAACTTTCGCCCCAATATTTCGTAAACCATTGCAATAAATACCATATAATTATTCCACTACCAAGACATTGGAGAGCACGCCACACATTCGTCTCTTCCACTTTCCTTCACCGAATTTTCCCGAGAAAATTCTCCAATTTTCTCGCGGACGCCAGACCTCCATATTAACCCTTCCTCGTCCCTCCAAACGCAATCTTGCTGAATTTTCATCCGAAACCCTAGAATTTGTTTGGATTCAAATGGGGCAACAACAATCGAAAGACGAATTGTTGTTTCAGCAAGTGAATAATGGAAACATCGAAGGAATCAAATCCCTTCACAGAGAAGGCGCAGGTCTCGAGGTACCAAATCATCACTCTCAATCTTCTTTTTTGATCACTTGCACATATTTGTGTGAACTTTCAATGCTACTGGGCTATATCTTGGTGTATTAGATGAATTGTTTGATTGTAAATTGGGGTTTGAATTAATGTTTTTGTTGAACTAGAGTAAGCTTATGTACAATATGATTGTTTTTGTGCAGTGGATTGATAAAGAAGAGAAGACTCCGTTGACTGTGGCTTGTACGAAGTTTGAACTGTATAATGTTGCTAAAACTTTGATTGAATTGGGTGCCGATGTGAATGCATATCGTCCCGGTATGTGTTTCGAATTCTTTTCTGAAAAACACATCATTTGTTTCAACTTCTTTTTAGTTATATATGTCTGTAATTTGTGTATTAGCGTGAGGGAAATTGAAATTGGAATTCCCTTTTATGCTCTGTTTGGTTGCCGAGAAGTCAATTGAGAATAGGAGGAAAATTTTAGTATAATCAGTTTTCTGCTCTCATTTTTGTCAGCTGTTTTACACAGAATGTAAAGTAATACTGAGCATCTCCAAGCCTTCACCAATTTCTTCATCTAATTTGATTCCAAATTTGAGAAAAAAAAAATTTCTTTTGATTGATATGAACTACTCTTTCATCAAATTACTTTTTAAAAATTCTCCTCTTATCCCAAATTTCCCTTTTCATCAAATTTGATGAAAAAATAACATCTCCAATGTTTCATCTTTTTAAATTTTCACCAAATTCAGCTTTGATGAAGGATCTGATGAATTCTCAATTTGATGAAAAAAATGACTCTCCCTTGATTTGATGAACATTTGATGAAAGGATTGGAGATAATTTTTGACCATTTTTTCACCAAATCTTAATTTGATGAAAGAAGGTGAAAGATTGGAGATGCTCTAAGGAAGAATATTGCAAAACTTCTGAAGTGTGGTACAAAGATTATTAATCTAGAAAAGCATGATGAATTGTTGCATCAGTGAGGACTGGATTGTATAATGAAGATGAATCTTAAGTATCATTTTTTTGGTTCTTGTAATTAAAATTTGGATTGCGTGTAAGAGTTACCGCAGGAAGCTTTTCTTTTCTGGGAAGACCTATTTTTGTTTGTTAAAACCCTTCTCTTTTTTTTCTTAAATTGCAATCCAAATATTAAAATTTCAGTCAGATCTGCATGTGCATGAACTGACTACATTTTATTTATTTATTTATTTATTTTATGGAATTATTTTATGCAGTTGGATTTTGGATCTGTGGTGTTTTGTAATGTCTTCTTTTCATGCTTATTTGTAAACCAAACATCTGTAATGCACAATCACGGATCTGAGTAGCTAATTGTGGTGATATATCAGCTGACAGGAACACCTATTGTGGTGATATATCAGCTGACAGGAACACCTATTAATCTTTAACCCATTTTTTAATGTTAAATTGTTATTTTTTCTTTCATTATTATTGTTTTAGGTCGTCATGCCGGGACTCCATTACATCATGCAGTGCAAAGAGGCCTTGAACAAACTGTTAAGTTACTTCTTTCACATGGAGGTATGTGTCTTGTTGGTCAAATATTGCATATTGCTATGTGTGCTTACTACAACTTCAGACGTTTTGCAAGCAACAAATGACAATTCCATTTTCTGAACGAGTTTAATAGATGATTATTTATTTATTTATTTATTTATTTATTTTTGTAAATTTCAGCAAATGCATTAGTGATGAATGATGATTCTCAAACTCCACTTGATGTTGCTAGAGTTAAAAAGAACACCAACATTGTCCGTGCAATTGAGGTATTCTTGAAATTTAAGATGTCATTTCATTTCACTATTTTACTTTCAATCTAATGTGTGAAGTAGCAATTTTTTCGCTTTTTTGTCATGCAACAATTTGACCTTGTTTTTCTTTCTAATGCTGCTTAGAGTCATATCTGCTTATTCTCTGGTTGGCTGCGGGAGCTTTATGGTCCAAGCTTTCTTGAAGTACTAGCTCCCCAATTGCTTTCAAGAAAAGTGTGAGTATAATTTTAATTTGAATCATTCTACGAAGGAAAATAAGAGGGAATATAGTGCCATGCAGCTGCATTTGAAGCTAAATGCACAGTTACACATTTTTGCATACAAGTCAATAGATGATGAGCATATCATGACTTGCATGCCTTAGAGGCCAAGTGTTTATAATATTGAGCAACCTTTTCCTGCTCAATTTGTAATTTTTTTTTTAAATGTTTAGAAAGAAATGTGGCCAAATGGTGGATTCACATTGATTTATTCTACAGACATGACACGGCAATGTTGTATTATTTTATTCTCTACTAAAAGAGGTATCTCACAAACGACTAGATATTTATGTTGTTAATTATTGCATATTGGCAGTTGGGTGGTTGTTTTACCATGTGGTTCCCGTAATCTTACGAAGCCTTTCAAGTTAGAGCTTGCCATATATCCTAGTCAGCAGGTATTTTCTTTCTTATTTGTCAAGTCACTATACAAGTTGGAGTTAGTCTGGAATTTGCATAAATTTTGCTTTCAAACTACTAATTTTTGGATTCAGGCTTCTTGTAGGCTTACTAAGGTCTTTAGCAGCACTTATAGAGTTTAGTTCTGTGGTGCTAGTTTCTAGTCTATAGAATTTTTTGACATCTCTTCTTGGAGTATGTAAAAAGGTTTTCTGCACTGTCTGAGTTCAATTTCTCTGGTCTTTATTTTCCCTGATTATCTGAGTGAGTCTCAACATGCTTATGCATTTCTTAATGGGGTGCTATTTTAAATCATAGGATGTAATTATTATTATTCATTTTTTTTTTTGGCCATAGACTTTGAACTAGAATTTTTGTTTTATTTTATGTTTCTAACTCTCTTCTTTAACTAGAAATGTAGCCGGTTGAATTCACATTTGTTTCTGCCTCCTTTTGTATGGTCATTATTGTTTTAACTTCAACAGTATTTTTAATGATGAGCAGGATTCCCAGCCTCGAACTCTTATTGCACTGTGGAAAGCCAATATGGAAGAACCAAAGTTTAACGAGCCTGATCCTGCAGTGATAATTTCTGATATTTCCAGCAGTAATTCCTCAATATGACTGATTTGACAAACTGTTATTATGTAGAGTATTTGTGTTAATTGATTTTGTGTTCATGCATAGTCCCAAGACGCTGGAGGCGGAGGCGAGGTATTTTGTCCTCCCGAGAGGCAAGGTGTAAGCTTCAAGGTGGTCGACGTAAGTGCATTGAATTTTGGACCTGGTTAGAACTAAAAATAATTTAGAAATTGGAAGGAAATAAGCAGAACAAAGCAAAAAACAGAACTTATCCACAAACACACAAAAAAAAGAAAAAAAAAAAAGAAAAAGAAAAAGAAAGAGAAGGAAAATAAGAAAATAAGAAAAAGAAAACTAACAGATGTAGGAACTTGTTAAAGAGGGATTGTTATTCTTCTCTGTAGCATTTCATTTATGAAGTTTGATTTCAAAATTGTATGTTCTGTGCATAGTAGCTAGTAGTAACTACTTGACGTCATATAAGGCCAATAATTCTATTGGTACAAATTCTTAAGAAACCTAAGGTTTAGGCTGCATTCCCCCCAACAAAGAGTCTCGAGTTTGAATCTCTCGAAGACAAACAGTTATATTCTATTTCAGTTCTCATATTCTCATATTATAATCTACTCCTCCTAGGCCCCCATCTAACGGAGACTAAACTGGGCTTTTACTTTTTATATTATATTTCAACCAAAATAGCCAGTAGTCAACAGAAATTGCATTATAGGCTTCTTGCTCATAAATGACAATCCGTTCAGATATTGAATTGGGAAATCCTCGATAATAAATTAACAATGCTAAAGAAAGAAGGATAATGTAAAATGCTAAGCTAGTAATCAGGGGCCAAAGTTTCTTATTATTGTTTATGCCTGACATCTCAATGTCAAGGCATGTATTGCATGCTTCGACTGATTCGCCTTTGAAGCTGTGAGAATTAGGAATAAGTGTCCACAGTTGAACCTCGCCTCAAGAGCAGACTTATGTGATGAGACAATGCGCCAAAAGGGTCACTAACAAAATGCCGCATTTATAAGCTCATTTATTATCAAGACATATGGCTCACTTGTAATTTGAAAGTTGCATTGAAATTATAGTTTGTCTAGTGACCTGGAGAACTCCAATGGTCTACAATGGAAGTTGATGAAGCCGTGATATATGTATGTATATTGTACCTACCCACTCTACGTCTTCGTGTTAATGGACTAAACATGATATCCTCTCTTACATACAGAGCTAAAATATTTGATCATCATTTTTTCTTCGGATCTAATTTGAAAATAAGGAGAGAAAAAAATAGTGCGTGCATATATTATAATTATTGTATATAATATATTGAGGTTATAAAAAAATAATTGTAGTATTGTTTAGTGTCTTGAACACTGAATATTTGTTTGACAAGTTCAATACACCTGAATTTTGTTTCTTTCTATTACAGAGACCCGCATTAAACTTGCACCTGCATATGAAACAGACAAGCAACAACTGCAGAGATTTTCCAATGCATGCAAAGGAATTCCACAGGTACAAAAAACATTCGGAGTGAATGTTACTGTTTCATGTTGTGCATAGAGCATTGACAGATTGATGCATAGTAATCACAGAGAAAATTATTTTGGCGAAAAGTACTAACAAAGTTTTTAAAAAAATAAAAATAAACCATGACAGCATAAATGAATTCTTGCACACACACACACACACACACAAAAAAAAAAAGAAAGTGAGTCTGTAGTTGTTGGATCCAAATATTGTATATGCAGTTTAAGTTGACTGTCTACTGACTTGTGCCCTGGCTATGATAACTATAAATTTACAGTGCTTTGGTTTTTTTTCTGAAGTTTCAATTCCCTTCAAAGTCTTTTATGCTTCCTTTTCTTTCTTTTTTTACTAGAGAATATTGAGTTTGACTTTGCATTTTTGCCATGTACATCAGAAGACCTGCCAATTATGAATTTGATTAACCATTTGATTGTCATGAGATACTTATTACTTGCTCATCCAAAATAAAAATAAAAATGAAATACTTAAAGCTAACTGTGCCCGTCCAAAAATTCAGGTAATGCATCAAAATTTTCCTTTTAACACCCAAGCGCCAGTTGTTCCAACAACTGCCCCGTCATCATCTGCAGAAGATATAGAATTAGCTATGGCAATCAATGCCTCGATCCAATCTGCTATGGAAGCAATGCCACCCTTTGTTGATACTAATCATAGCTCTGGAGCAAATGCATCCTCCAGCAGTCACAGTGCATGCGAAATCCATGAAGTTGGTTCAAGTGGCAATTCAACTCAACAAATTCAGAATCTGAGTGACATTCCAGCTGTTGTCCAAACAACGGTTGAGATACCTATCCCAGCTTCACTCCCATCGGCCCGACCCATCAAGAATGCGATCATAAATGATGGTCCTATTCATTACCCATCAGTTGATTTCAGCCCTGTTGATTTGTCTTCCCCTGTAGTGGAGAACTTACCTGCTATGGAAGATGGAACGAAAGAAGATACGGCTGCTTCTTCATCATGCGTGATATGTTTGGATGCTGCAGTTGAGGGGGCTTGCATTCCATGCGGCCACATGGCTGGATGCATGTCTTGTTTGAATGAGATCAAAACCAAGAAGTGGGGTTGCCCCGTGTGTCGTGCCAACATTGACCAGGTTATACGTCTGTATGCTGTTTAATCATCGAAGCAAGATATGGTGACACTGCGTTTAGTTGGTGAGCTTTTGGTACGTGGAACAAAACTCTTGATATCTTCTATCAAATACAAAAACAAAACTATCAATTGTGTTTCCCAGTAGTTCTAAATGTTTCTGTATATATTACTGAACTCCTTTGAGCTTTCTGAAATTTCTCCAACTTGACATGAAGTTCTGAAGGCATGAAATTCAATCTAAGTCTTAAATTGTGCAGGCGAAAATATATGACCGCAATAGTTGGCAACTACAGTGACAGATTATAGTGGTCTTCAAGGTCTCTTTCGACGAAACAACTGGTAATCAAACTTGTTAAACTTTATGCTGTTATTTATTGGAAGTGAACTAAGTTTAGACTTTAAGTGGGAATTTTTTTTCCATTTAGGGGGATGTCAAGTGAATATTGTAATTTCCTTTTGTAAAATAGAAGCGGCAGTATATTCTTGTGACTGAAGTTTACACACTCGATGTAAATTTTCTGTTTTCATTTTTGTGTCAAGCAGTATTTTGAAACAGATACTGTGATATTTTTTCATGTTGGATATTTGTATGCTCTGCTGATATGCCTTTTAACTGTGAGAGGAGTTTTAAGGACTCTTGGTGTCATTTTCGTTTTTTATTTTCTATTTTTAGAATTTAAAAAAATGAAAATTGTAAATTGTTTTTGAGGAATATTCCACCTGTCGGCACACATTTGAAGGTATTGATTCACCAACAAATGACAAATTATTTTCAAAAATTCTAGAGGCCCCAAAAATTCTACCAAAAATTTTACCAAATGTCTCACATGGGTGGGTGTGGGATCTACATGGGACTCACATTGTGTGGGTTCCATACCCATGTGAGACATTTGGTAAAACTTTTGGTAGAATATTTGGGGTCATTGAGAGATTAATCCGTTTTGTTTTTTAACAGGAGAAGAAGATAAAACGATGCATTGATTGGGAGATTATTAATAAGAGTGATACTAATAATATTCTACACAAAATTGATGTTGGTAGAACTTTTTTTTATTTTATTTTTCAGTGTAGATTAATTACACAATTAGAACAGTTGGGATTAGCTCAAAGTTAATGACCCACCTAGAACTGCCTATGCACTTTAATGAATTTATAACCTTAATCAAGTGATGTCTAATCGCAACTTGATTACAGACAGCTAATTAGTTGGCAAAGTTATATCGGTTGTACGCATGACTTGCATAGTAAAATGGCAAACAACTAATTAACTGGTAAAGTGGTATAAAATTATGATCAACAAACAACAATTACCCTTCATTTTTTTTTTTAATGTTATATATATTTGGATCTTAAATTTGTGAAGGGAAATTACTTTTACATATCCAAGTTTTTATGAGTAACCAAAATTATTTTTTTGACAAATATATATTTATTCTATTCTCATTTTACTAATTGGACCAAACAAAAGAAAAGAATTTGGCTTCACCTACTTCATTTTTCTCTAATTTGTTCATTTCCATCCATTCTCAAATCCAAACAAAATTCTCTGAAATGGAAAAAATTCAAACTAAAATTATCCACATTTTATTTAAATGTCAAGTTGTTTGAAATAACTCAATTCAAGTTATGGACTCCTACTTTGTTAGATAAACTCTGCAAGTTTTACAACTCAAGTTTAGAATTTCATTTTAGCAGCTAAAAATATTTTAAGAGCTTGACACAACCCCAAAAATAAATAATAAATAAATATGATAAGCTAATATTTTGAGAGTCAACCAACCCTTTGAAAACATAGAATGAAATCACGTACCCACTCTAGCCAACTGGAATAGCCTTTTAAATTTTGGTTAATTACTCCTAATGCAATGCAGAGTGTGCCCAAGTTGCTTTTTTTAAGTTGATTCAACTTTAGTTATGGAATCAACATATGACTTACTCTTGGAGGTAAGTAGCAGTAGTGATTTTTGGCAATTTCATTTAGAAGAATATAAAAACTAGAATTTGTAAGCTATTATTCTAATTAAAGTTAGAATAAAGTTTAACAAATTGGTACGGGAGTAATCAATGGTAAACACCCTTTTTGCCCTAAAACATTCGACTTCTTGTATTTGAATGGCTTCAAAGATTCCATTGAACCGTGAATGAACATTGCACAACCCTACCAATTTCACTCATTTGAGTGCTTCTATGGCACATCTTTTACACCACTTTAGATTCAAATACACCGCTAAATCAAACAAAATTCCCTCTGCATAATGCACATTTTCACATTTCAAAAAGTTTGCGGCATCATATCGATAATCTACTTTGCTTCTGTCAATTAAAGGTTAAATAGGAGAAGCGAAAAAAAGAAAGAAAGAAATGTATCATTTCTTTTGCTAAAATCCAAAGATTAGCACTTAGCTTAAAGTACTAATTTGCCCTTTAATTTCGTTAGTTCTTTGCTTAAAACCCTTCAAATTAGGGAAGCTCTTTTATGCACTATCATATTATTCGATATGTTTGTACTATATCGAATAAATGAACATTTAGGAAAACTTATTTTGTGTAATAACGATATTCTTTCAAACATTGTCATGAAGGAGAAGGGAAAAAAATGGGAGAATGTGGATTATTGATATGATGCCTCAATGTGTACGTGACAGTATGGACTTGCAGTAAAAACAATTATATATTCAGACCTACAATGCTACTAATAATTTAAAGAGAAGTGATTGGTAGCTCGAATTTGAGCCTCCCAAATTCAAAAACGACGTCGTTTTCGTCGTTTTTGATTATTTTTTTTTCAGAAGAAGAAAATCAGAATAAGAGAAGGAAGAAGGAGGAAGAAGAAGAACTGGACTGGAGGGGCCATCAAAATCGGGCTGGAGGCGGAGGCGAGGTGGAGGCAGAGGCAGGGGGTGAAGGCGGAGGCATAGGCGGGGGCTGCAAGGTAGAGGCAGAGGCGACGGTGGGGCTGCGACGAGGCGACGGCGGGGCGACGATCGGGCGGAGGGGCTGCCATCTCTTCCCCTCTCTTCTCTTTCTCTCTTCTCTTCTATCTAATTCGGGGGGCTCAAATTCGGAGAAAAAAACATTTTCCTAATTTGAAATGATAATGTAATAGAAAGAGTATCAAACTTTCAAATGAAAAAAAATAAAAATAAAAATAAAAATCTTAGGAATAGACCCATATAACTTTTTTTTAAATAAATAATTAATACTATTTTAATAAAGGATTTTTCAAACTTGTGTCCGTCATTCTCAGCCGCCTCATTAGATACTTCCCTTCTCAGAAGTTGAAGTGTATTTATCAAATTCGGAAACAAATTGAAGCGACAAATTTGCTCTCTTCTGGAGCCAACAACTGTCCAATATCATCCCAATTTTGTTAGGCATTGACCAAATCGAAATCAATGTTTGTTGTCTCTAAGTTACCTTTCAATGAACCAATTAAAGTGTTTACATAATATACAGTAACACACACATGTATTTGTATACGCAAGCAAAAAAAGTTGTTCTTCTAGTGAGCAAATGCTTTTATATCACAAAGTCTTTTGAGGGCCACGAATGCATAAAATGATACAAAGTATGTCTATTCATCTGATTGAATCATGTGCATGTCTATTTGCTTAAGCAACATACTCTAGTTCTTCCATTGACTTCAATACAGTTCTCATCAATGTCATGAAAGCAACAAGACAAACTTCTATTATTGTAGAGATAAGTTCTTGTGCAATTTATGCCATCTCTTATGGTGCATGTTAAAGCATATGTTTAATAGTCAAGGAATTCAAAGTACAACAACCTGAAAATGTGCTTAAATATATTCTAGTGCTAGAGCACGGTATTTGCCAACTACACAAATTAGTAGCCGTGAAATGGATGGAATTAATCTAATCCACATTGATTAGAGAGATTAGAGACAAATTCAACTACATCCATCCCCTTTTTTTCAATTTCGTTGATCAGGAGCATGATTTCATTATTGGTTGAAATGCATATCGGATTTTTGGCCTCTTAATTTTGGTATTTTTTGCCTCCTAATTTTTGTATGCCAATGAGAAGTAAAATCCCATGCATATATGAGCTGATACGTATTAGGTTTTTGAACTCTCAATACCGATACACCTAGGGATAGCCCAATACTCTTGGGGGCCTTCCGTGCAATTTCAAATGAATTTTTTTTATTATTATAAATAAACATTTGTTTAAATAATACAATTAAATTTTGTATTGCATTTTTTAACTGAAAATTATTCTTTATTTTTTTAATTAAAATGATTATATCGCCTTTATTATTGGAGGCTTTTTAGACATGAAATTTTATTTTGTTGGACCTTTACATATAAAATAAATAAAGAAATAAATAAAATTATTTTCGTTGTGCCTTTGGATAATAAGTTTTTATTTATTATAAGGGCCCGCCTACGAATAAATAAATAATTTCTTTTTACTTTTGAAATTTTGCAAGGTATTTGGACAAGGTTAACTTTTGGCTCCATCCCCTTTTTTTGCAATTTCGTTGATCAGGAGCATGATTTCATTATTGGTTGAAATGCATATCGGATTTTTGGCCTCCTAATTTTTGTATGCCAATGAGAAGTAAAATCCCATACATATATGAGCTGATACGTATTAGGTTTTTGAACTCTCAATACCGATACACCTAGGGATAGCCCAATACTCTTGGGAGCCTTCCGAGCAATTTCAAATGAATTTTTTTTTTATTATAAATAAACATTTGTTTAAATAATACTATTAAATTTTGTATTGGATTTTTGGCCTCCAAATTTTGGTATGCCGATAAGAATTAAAATTCCCTACATGTATGAGCTAATACATATTAGGTTTTTAAACTCTTAATATCGGTACACTGGGGGAGCCCAATACTCTTGGGGCCTTCTATGCAATTTCAAATGTATTTTTTTTATTATAAATAAACATTTGTTTAAATAATACAATTAAATTTTGTATTGCATTTTTTAACTGAAAATTATTCTTTATTTTTTTAATTAAAATGATTATATCGCCTTTATTATTGGAGGCTTTTTAGACATGAAATTTTATTTTGTTGGACCTTTACATATAAAATAAATAAAGAAATAAATAAAATTATTTTCGTTGTGCCTTTGGATAATAAGTTTTTATTTATTATAAGGGCCCGCCTACGAATAAATAAATAATTTCTTTTTACTTTTGAAATTTTGCAAGGTATTTGGACAAGGTTAACTTTTGGCTCCGTTGAGTGGAGTTTTCAAAATATAATTTCATACTCATTTTTATTGTAGTGTTTGTTTAGTATTTTTAAAAATTAATTTCACATTTACTTTTAAAAACTCTTTTTAAAGCGAAAAATTTTAGACTAACCGGTCGTCCCACCAGACGTTCTACCGAACGTCCCACCGGTCGTCCAGTTGGTTGACCGGAGCAGTGTTCTTTTTTTTTTTCTTTTTTTTTTTACACCTGTTATTTTTATATTACAAAAAAAATATTTGTGAAATTTTTTTAAAATTTTTTATGAGCTTTGAATAGAATTTTAGATTGTGTGTTTAGTTATGAGTTGTAAGTTTTTATATCAAATATCATATGTCACATCACTCAATTCAAACTCAATAAAAACTCTTTTCAAAACTCATAACCAAACAAATTTTTCACACTCAAATCATAATTTCAAAATTTACAAACTCAAAATACAACTATAATTCTCAAATTATAATTTTAAAATCCTATCAAACACTACCTTTATTTTAGTGGGTGTTTTGGCGGGCTTTTTTTCTTCTTGTTAGGCCTCGTAACATTAAATTTTTATTCAATTTTTATTATTGATTTGTACAGAAAATTTTAGTTTAATAGGCCTTTATATATATATATATATATATATTGCAGAATTTTTCACAAAGATCAAAGAAAATAAAAATTTGGGGCCTCTGAACAATTGAAGCAAAGGAAAGAAGTGGTGTCTCTTTTTATTATTTATTTATTTTTGGATATTAATAAAATTTCTAAGTTAAAAATCAAAATTTCAAATGACCCGTAAATTTATTTTTAATTTTTGGGCAAATTACAAACACCCCCTCAAAATTTGGTAAAAATACAGTCTCCCCCTAAAGTTTGAGAAATTACAAACTGCCCCTGAAGGTCAAATTTTCATAACAAATTATGAGAATTGAGGAGGGAATCTGTATGAAAATAAAAACCTTAAGGGGCAATTTGTTATGGAAATATAAACCTCAGTGGGCGAGATGTAATTTCTCAAACCTCAGGAGGAATCTGCATTTTCACCAAATCTCGAGGGGGTGTTTGTAATTTGCCCTTTATTTTTTAAAAGGTTAATTACACTAATAGTCCCTATAGTTTGGGGCTTGTGTCACTTTGGTCCCTAACTTTTCAATTGTGACACATTTGACCCTGAATTTTGAATCTTGTTTCAAATAAAAACAATTGAAAATATCATTAGATTTTTTAAGGGTAAAATCGTCAATTTGATAAAATATAAACTAATTTGATAAAAATAAATGTCAAAAAAATATTTTAAATTTTTTAAAAATTATTTTTATCCACCAATGATAAAATTATATAAAATTAATAAAAATTACATGATTAATTTTTTAAAATTAATTTTACATGATCATCATTCAAACACATAATAAAAATTAATTTGATAAAAATAATAAATAAACATCTAAAAGATTTATTAATTTTACATAATTTTATTTTTAGTGGGTAGAAATAATTTTTAAAAAATCAAAAATATTTGTTTGATATTTATTTTTGTCAAATTAGTTTATTTTTTATGAAATTGACAATTTTACATTTGAAAAATCTAATTATATCTTCAATTATCCTTATTTGGAACAAGATTCAAAATTCAGGATCAAATGTGTCACAATTGAAAAGTCAGGAACCAAAGTGACACAAATCCCAAACTATAGGGACTATTTATACAATTTGCACTTTTTTAAATATCATCGTCGAATCACATAGCCCTTGGTAGTAGTTTCAAATTTTTGAGTTAGTTTGGGATATGGATTAGTTTTTTGACTTTTTATTTTTTCATTATTTTAGTTTGGGGATAAAAAATCTCGTTTTAAATGAATTTTTTTATTTTTTTTATTTTTGTGAGAGAAAAAATAAAATAATTATAATTTGAATGTGATATTTTTTAGCCTCAGACTAAAAAGTTTTTTTTTATCTTTGGGTAAATTAAAAATACACCTTCTGAGATTTACTTAAAGTACAGATTACCTCCTATGGTTTGGAAAATTACAATTACTCCCTTGTTATAATTTTTTATTTAACAGAATTAACTAAAATAATAAAATTCATAGTTGTTTTCCTATACAATAATAAAATTACTTAAATTATTAATTGAAACATATTTCTAATATCATTAAAAATTATTAATTGACTTAATGATTTATTAATAAAAGATGTGATTTGTTATGAAATTAGAAATCTCGGGGTGAAATATAATTTTTGAAATCATAAGAAACAATTCTTATTTTAATCAAATATCAAAAAATGTATTTGTAATTTATCTTTTATTTTTTTATAACTATTTTAAACCCTATCTGCCCCAATCTAACTTCCTAAACGTGTGTTTTGATTTTTGCGTTTGGAAAATTGATTAAAAGTCATTTTCTAAATTTTAATCTATTTTCTTCTCTTACAAAAAAGTTTAAAAAAAAAAAATCAAAACTAACTTTTAACTATCTTTCTAAAATATCCCTTCACGTGATGTCTTTTAGACTTGGGTTTAAATGATTTTTTTTTTTTTTTAAAAAAAAAACTTTAAAATAGTTAAAATGCATTTGAAAAGTTATAATGATTGTTTTTTTTTAATAAAAATTTGATGTGACATTTAATATTTTAAATTGATAAAAATAAGTATTTCGACTTTAAAATTTTTTTAACTAAGAAATTGGTTAATCTTATATTTTTAGCGATAAAATTATATATTTAATAATATATATATATATATTTGAGATTAAAACTTTTGTCTCAAAAAGTTTACCAACACTAGATTATTTTGTTCCTAAAAATATTATTATTAATAACATTTTTAAAATTTTATTGTTAAATGTCATTTTTAACTTTTCAATACAACCTTTTAATGATAACTCACACAATCACTGAAATTGATCTCCATATATCTTTTACAATAAAATTTTTATTTTTAAAAGCAAAAAAAACTAAATTTAAATTTTTATACGTTGTACTGTTATTTTTATTTATTATTATTATTTTGGATAAATGAAGGTGTTGTCAATCAATGCAAGAGAATGGGAATATTCTCGAAATATATTTTTAAACAAAGAAGCGTTTATGCTGATTCTCCTTTTCTACAAGTGCAATTTATTTAAATTTTATTATTTTTATTATACAAAATTAAAATAATAGTGTTAAATAGTTTATACACTTTAAATGAATTACATTTATACTAAATTTGAGCATTACATGAATAGCACTTTAATAAATAATGAGATAAACAAATAAAAAATAAATATCAAATAATAAGACAAACTTATGAACGTATTTATGTATTATCATTTAAAACAAAAACTAAATTATTAAAATAATTTCTAATATCAAAAATATATCATTTCCATGAGTAATTTAAGCATGGTTAAAATAGTTAAAATATATCATTTCCACGAGTAATTATTAAAATAGTTAAAATGTCTAAATAAGTACAAAAACATAACATAAGTTAATTTAATCAAGAAAATAAAATGTTACATTCATATAACAATCATTTCACTTTCTCTTTTACCATCATTACATATAAATAAAAAAAACAATAAATTCTTTTCAAACAAAATTAATTTAGCCAACTTAAATTAATTAAATAAATTTAAAAATTAAGTTAAATTAGTAATTTTTTTCCAGACGAATGGGTTAATTTTGTAAGAAAAATTTTAAAATATAATATGGCATTTTCCGTAAATAAATCATCAGGGCAATTTGCTTTCTCTTATCTCCATCCATCATCCCAACCCTACTGTCAACCTGTTTCCATTTCCACAAAAAAGCCCTAACCAAGTTGCTCATCCACACTCCCAATCTCCGTTACCCTCTCTCTCTCTCTCTATCTCTCTCTGTCTTACGCGCACACACAGTATGATAACAGTTGCTTCCCCTTTTCTAGGAAAATATCTGCCAATCTCTTGAAACATTTTCAGAAAACAAAGCCCCCACAAAAGCCATCAAAACACCATACCCACACACACACCTTTTGATGGTTTTCTAGGATTGATCAAACAAACTAACCACAAAAAGAGATTAATCTTATGCCTCTCTCTCTCTCTCTCTCTCTCTCTCTGTATTATTGCAGCATCCCAACAATCATCTTCCTCTCCCACTTCCAAACCCTCTCTCTCCAATGATGAAATGAAACCCAAATGAAATCTCAATCTCTGATCAAAAGTCCCTGTTACAGTTCTCATCAACAGTAACATCCTCATACTTCTACAGCTCTCTCCAGTAGACTGCACTCTCTCTCTCTCTCTCAATGGACTCAAACCCCCTAGAAATGCACACTTTAAACCCAAACAACAACACAACCATCATCACCAACACCACCACCATAACCACCTCAGCCTCAGCCTCAGCCTCAGCATCATCATCTTCATCATCCCCAACAACCCTAAGCCGGTACGAGAACCAAAAGCGGCGAGATTGGAACACCTTCGGGCAGTACCTCCGCAACCACCGCCCACCACTCTCTCTCTCCCGCTGCAGCGGCGCCCACGTCCTGGAATTCCTCCGATACCTGGACCAATTCGGCAAAACCAAAGTCCACACCCAACTCTGCCCCTTCTTCGGCCACCCCAACCCTCCTGCCCCCTGTCCCTGCCCTCTCCGCCAAGCCTGGGGCAGCCTCGACGCCCTCATCGGCCGCCTCCGTGCGGCCTTCGAGGAAAATGGTGGCAAGCCTGAAGCCAACCCATTTGGGGCTCGAGCTGTTAGGCTTTATCTGCGTGAGGTTCGGGACTCTCAGTCCAAAGCTAGGGGAATTAGCTACGAGAAGAAGAAGCGGAAGCGGCCGCCTGCGGTGGCGGCTGCAGCGGTGGCGGGGCAGCAACCACCGGCATTGCCACCTCCAAGTGCAAGTTAGCCACTCTCTTTGCCATGGATATGATCACAATTAAGTGCATGCATATATATATATAGCATGGTTTTAATTATCGGCCAATTGTAATGAAAATTTAGACTTCAGGTATCGATATTTGTTCAGCTGATACTGTCCAATATTAATATATATATCTATATATATATGTAGTATTCCCTTACTGTTAAATATAAATTAGTAAGATTTTATTTTCTTGGGAAAATTTCACATCATTTTGGACACGAGAAGAAAAAATTTGCAGTGCTAATTTTATCTTGTGTTCTAGCACTCAAAAAAGATTGTTATATTTTGTTATAAACAATTTTCCCTATTTTCTTTTTCTGTTGTTTCTGAAAAACTGTGTATGCTTAGATTTTGTGGGTACTGAACTGTTAGGGGTATCCTTTATTTCTATATATATATGTGTGTAAACAGTGGCAGTTTTACTGGTTGTGTAGTCATGTAGAAGTGGTAGTGTGTGTACTAGTTGTAGTACAGTTTTATGAGACTTACCATCCAAATTGTCATAGATATGTACTAGTTGAAAAGCCATTTATGACATGTAATAGATTTGCATATCATGTTCCATGTCTTTTTTTCTGCTGTTTCTGTAATTCTTTATTGGGTATTGGCAAATCATACTAATTAAATAAAAAAAAAAAGAGGGATTAGTGACTTCGCACTTTGCAGAGATCATTTGTCAGATTTATCCAGCACTACACCTGCTTATTTTTGTTACTGCAAATAGTGATAAGTTTTTGCTTTGCTTTTCCTCTTTTTGGTTACTCACATGCTTTCCTTTCACTTTGATATTCACCATCCAGAAGATTCAGAAGTTGGAGGACTAAAGTGAGCATGAAAAACCCAAAAGCCCTTAATTTGATGTGAAATCTAAGGGTAAGTTTGTTGGTAATTATTCGGTTGTTTCAAAATGACATTTGACAATATTTATGGAAAGTTCTTAATCAAGTAATAAAGAGTTCTTTTGATAAGGTGATTAAAAGTTAGATTTTTATTTTTTATTTTTATGTTTTTTTTGAAAAAATATGTTAAAAAAATGTGAGAGATGATGGCCTTGTTTGGTTTGTGTTTTCTAAAAATTTTTGGAAAAAATTTTCTACAAATAAGTTTTCAAAAGTAATCAAACCAAATATTTTTTCAAAAAAAATTTTCAAAACTTGTTTGGTTTACAAGTTTTTCAAACAAATCTCTCTCTCATACACGTCAAATCAATCACTTTTTTTAAAATTTTCTCTCAAAATAATTTTTCAAAACATCTTTTGAAAAAAATCAAATCAGACAACTTTTCGTACTTTTTATTTCTAAAACTTATCTCCAAAACTCAAACCAAACATACCCATCGATTCAAAATACATTAAAAGTTAAAAGATGACTTTTAATCATTTTTTTAAAATAGTCTAAAAAAAATTATGAGTGGACATAGGGTCTCACCTTTGTTAAGTAAATTGAGAGAGAAAAAAATAATCATTAATGTGTGTTCTGATTTGTTAATTTCCCAAGATTTGTTAATTTACCGTGAGAATCATGTAGGTAATACACATCGTGAGTCACCCAGCCCCTTAGCTACAATGCATCATGTGATTTGATCTTTATTACAATATATAATGTGATCAAGCTTTTAAATACAGATCCATATGTGTTAAGATTTTGAATTTTTTGCATTGATATTCACTAATATGGTTAATTTTGTTTGATATTAATCTATATATGATCATACAATTAATATAATCACATCAAATCTAATTTTAAATACGATTGGTTAATTTATAATGTTGAACATATCACATCAAAACTTAGGAATGCACATAATGCACCTCCTTAGACGCTCACTACAGAATTTGCCCTAATCTAATTAGTTGGGATCTCAGGGTAACAAAGGAGTCATGTGCAGTTGGCTAAATCCAATTATATATGAATGAACTTGGTGCAACAGAAGAAAAGGAACTGCATATAGGACAGTGAAACTCCTTTGTTTTTTTCATTTTGAATAAAAAAAAAGAAACTCCTTTGCCCTCTTTTTGAACAGCAGTAGAGTCTATGGACACATTTATTGTCTGCAAATCCATTACCAATTTCTCTCGTGTCGTATCAATCTTACTTGTTCCCCCAAATAGGAGATAGCATTAAATAAGTGAAGTACATTCACATGAACTCTTTGACTAGTAAATTTTAGTTAGGTCTTCATTGAGGGCAACTTACATTGGATTCATATTTTTTTTTTTTTTTTAAGTACATCGGATCCATAGGTAAGCAAGCAAACCTTACATCCAGAATTGTTCATTTTTCGCCCCCATCCCTAGAACACATACTAAAAGTAATTAGGGTAAGCCCAAGTACTATGGGTTTGTTTGTTTTGAAGGATCAGGATGTGCAATTGAATTATCAGTCTCTCTAGATTTATAGTCCATTGTTTGTTTTAATTTTTTTTTTTCCAGACTAATAGTCTCCCTGGACTATTAGTCTCATATTTGTGGGACTATTCTAACCCATGGGAGAGGATTATTTCCATGAGATTAGGTTCTGATATGTCCATTTTACTTTCATGTTATTACTTGGCAAATAATTAGAAAATGGTAAAATAGTCTTTTGAACATTTATAAATTATTTTTTTAGTGTTGTTAATTTAAAATTATATATTAAATAAAAAATAATAAATTATAAATTATGGTCTTATAAATTAAATTTTTTTAGTGTTGTTGAAAATTTAATTTATATATTAAATAAAATTATTTTTTATTGTCATTAATTTAAAATTATATGTTAAATAAAAATATAATTTATAAATTATAAATTTAATTTAATTGAAAATAATAAATTAAAAATTATGGCCTTATAAATTAAATTTTTTTAGTTTTAAATTATAAATTATAGATTACAAATTTAAAATTATATATTAAATAAAAATTATAAATTACAAGGATAAAATAGACTTTTGAACATTTATCCTTATCCAGTCCGTCTAACCAAACATTGGATTCATTAAAAATAGTCCAATCCAGACATCTAATTCCATAACTAAACAAACATAGGATACAAATCCAGTCCAACCAAATAGTCCAGGGACAATGTATCTCGGGACTAACAGTCCGATAGATTACAATCTCCCTTTATCCAGTCCGTCCAAACAAACGCACCATATGTGTAGTATGATTTAAGAAATAATATATATATATAGGGATAGCCACGGAGTGGGTTTGGGATAGGTTTGCTCTTTCCCGCTCCTGTCCCCACTGACAAATTCTACCTCCGCACTCGTCCCACTCTCACTACGGGTGAAATTTTTCAACCTCACCTTGCCTCTGCAGATACTCGATACTGCAGATATCCGATCACATTTCAAATAATTAAAAAAATTAAGAACCATTTAAATTTTTAGCACACTAAATAGTTTTTTTATTTATATATATATATAGTGGAACTTTTAAGATTATTATTTATTTATATTTAAACAAAATCATAGACTTTTAATATTATTTTTTATATCTAATTATATTTTATATATATACATATATTATTTATTTATATATTATTAATTGTATCAAGTTGGGTTTGGATCAGGAAAAGCGATACCCGCCCCCCTTCCCACTCCAATTGCGGGTAACCAAAACATAATCTACGTCCGCCCCACATAAGTGTCAGGACGGGTAAAATTCATCCCATTCGAACGGATATGGACGGACCCCGTGGATCGGATTAAAATTGCCCCTTCTAAATATATAATTATGAATCTGGTCTACTTTTGCTTCACATAACAAACTATTTCTTGCAATGATTTGGATAATGTTACGTTATACTTTAAAAATTACACTATAATGCCTAATATTGAATTCATGCCTACTATTGCATTAGGGATCCGTGGTTATGAAATAATAAAAAATTATAACCTAATTTTTTGGCAGTGGACTTTCTGTAATTATTAATGTTTGTTTTTTTGACGAGAGGATATTATTCAATCAGATTTGGTCACGAGATACATCATAATTTTAAGGTTTGAATAGGTGCCATTCATTATAGAAGTTGTGTCTGGGATTTTTTATCTTTTTCAAGTAATCTTGGAACAAATTTTTCTGGCAATGTTGCCTTTCCATGATTTGATCAGTAATGAAAATAGTTGATGAGTATGAAATACGAGTTACATCTTATGATTATGTGATAAATTTCTGAATCATGGTCAGATTATGAATCACGAATCATGGTCGTGTGATAATCACTTTATGCAGATTTGAAAATAGATAGTTATGGTTCGTTTGGAATTTGGGTTGACTTTTTGATTATTTTAATTTGGAGTAAAAAGTCTTATTTGGGATAGTTTTTTTAACTTGAATTAGATGTAATGTTTTGTCTTATTGAGTTAAAAAAATTTATTTTGTCTATTTGTGACTAAAATAGTCAAAAAATCAAAAGGTCTAACATGCCAAACGAAGGTTAAGCAAGTAATAGTGTAGAGAAGCAAATACTGGTTACATTGTAAGAGCATCTCCAATGGTTAACCTTTTTTTTCATCAAATCTGAGTAAAAAAATGACTATTTTCTCAATCTGATACAGGCTGCTCCAATGGTTGTCATCAAAGGCAGGGGTCGACTGGCCGGTTGACCGGTAAGGCAAATATATTTTTTTTTTTTAAAACTTGTTTGAACTTGAATATTTGAACTGTTTGAACCTTTTACCGGTTGACCGGTTGGTCGACCGACCGGACGTCCAGCAGGTTGACCGTGGCCCCACTTGCAACGTTACAGCACAATGAATTGGTGAAGGTTCACGCAGATTCTCAATTTGATGAAAAATTTGCTCTGTTCTCAGTGTGATATCGGTTTGGTGAAACTATTGGAGCAAAAAAAAGTGACTTTTTTCATCAAATTCAAATTTGATACTGAATTTAGTTCACCGTTGGAAATGGTCTAACCTCTCTATTATTTGGTTGTGGTATGTTAGAGAATATAAAAGATAAAGATGTTCTCCCGATATCATATTTTTTTAACATAAGATCAATTATTGATATCATATTAAATTTTTATTTTTTATTTTTTACAATTTAATATGGCACGAGAGTAAGTAATAGATTTTATGTTCAAAAATTATCAACCATTCAATAATTAAAATATTTGCACGTATCTTTTAATTGTAGCATAAAAGTTGGATTTAAATGTAACATAGAGGGAGTACTTCTTGTGCTTATAATTTTAACCTTATAGTACCTTTTATTTTCTTCTCCCTTAATTTATACCTTGTATGTGGAGGAAAAATTAAGGCTCCGTTTGGATAGAAGGATTTCAAATACATTATTAATTTTTTAAAAGTTACAGAAGAGCAAGCTCTTATAGGTGTATTGAGAAACTAAAGGGTAGATAAAAATAAATAAATAAATAAAGAAGGTATTGTATTAGGATCATTGTAGAACTAGTCATTAGCATTAAGGATTTTAAACAACTACTTTTACATTATTATTTCAAATCTATAGTTTTTTTTTTTTTTTTTCAAATCTATAGTAATTTTAAGTGCATTGACTTTTTCTTGAATTTTCACATGTCAATTTAAAGCCATAATGTCAATTAACTTTATTCTTGAATAATAATGTCATTCACCGCCATTATTGTGAAAATTCACATAATGAAAAGGGTTAATAATTTTAAAAATTTTGAGTGTTTATAATTTGTATAATAGGTAGGGTCAATAATATTGTCATAAACTAGTTAGTACACTAATTAGTACATGTAATACCACCGAACTAAAAGAGTGTGGAGATTCACCGTCATTATTGTGAAAATTCACATGACCAGTGTTGGCTACTTAGGCTTCATTTGAGAAGTAATAGTTTTAACTTAAAAGTTAAAAAATTATTTTAAAAAATCAAAAAACTTATAACTTATACAAAAAAAGTTTAAAAAATCATTTTCTCTCTATTTTTTACACATTTTTTTGTAAAAATAAAAAATAATAAAAATAATAAAAAAACTAAAATATTATTATAAACATACAAAAAAATTTTATCTTATTTTTTAACAAAAAATTAAAAAATTACTAAAATAACATGTTTTTAAACCAGCCTGAGTCCAAAAGAAGACATTACAAACATCTAAAAAATTTACAATGGTAGAAGGCCTGAGAGGGACATATGGGCCTTGTTTGGTTTGTTATTTTGGAAAAAAAATTTTACAAATAAATTTTTAAGAGGAATCAAATTAAATAAATTTTTTTGAAAAAAAATTTAAAATTTTGTTTGATTATCTACTTTTCAAAATCACTTTCTCTCATACATATTAAATCAATCACTTTTTTTAAAACTTCTTTTCAAAATAATTTTTCAAAATTATTTCTAAAAAAAGGCAAATCAAACAAATTTTTATACTTTTTCATCTAAAAAATTACTGTACAAATACAAACTAAACGCACACTTGATTCTTCTTTCTCTCTCAACAGGACATCTAAAATTATCACGACAGAGAGAGAGGGGGGGCACAACATAGGTGGAACAGAGAAAGGGAGAATGGGACTTCCATCGTTCCTTGTATTTCTTTCAAGATTGCCTTGTTTGTGACTGAGTTTGTTTGGGAATAGATTTTTTTAGTAATTTTTTTATTAAAATATGATATAAAAAAAATTAGTATATTTGGAATGATTTTTTAATTTTTTACAAAAAGATATATAAAAAGTAGAGAGAAAAGAAAATCTTTAACTTTTTAATATGAATTGTTAATTTTTTAATTTTTTTAATAACTTTTTAACTTAAAAAAAATACTTGCCAAACAAGATTCCTTTGTTGTATGTGATTTCCAATACTGCAGTATTCATACCATGTGTGTTAATCGAAGAGAGCCGGTATTACTTTCACATACATATCTGTGTGTTTAAACTTAGGTCTCGTTTTGCATGTTACAATTTCAACTTAAAAATTAAAAAATTATTAAAATAATTAAAATGTCTATAATATATATTAAAAAGTCAAAAATTTTATTTTTTTTCTATTTTTATATATCTTTTTGTAAAAAATTAAAAAATTATTTTAAATATATTAATATTCTTACTTTATATTTTAATCAAAAAAATTAAAAAATTATTTAAATAATATATTTCCAAACGAAACCTTAATCCTATCTAAAGTGAGAATGGAGATTCACTACCATTATTCTAGGGTCTTTAACCATGGCAAAAAAAATTGGTGCTTTTAAATGCCTCTGAGACAAGATGAGTTCCCAATCCCTTTTTCATGTTATTGTTATCATTTTTTATTTCCTCAATTTAGATTTCGTTTGAGAAGTGGATTGGCTTTTTAATTTTTTAATTTTTTTTAGCTATTTAGCTTAGGCTAAAAAAACTTGGTTTGAGAAGAATTTTTTGACTTTTTGACTTTTTTTGTGAGAGAAGAGTATAATGATTCTGGGTTGGATGTGATGTTTTATTTTTTGTGACTAAAATAACGTATTTTGTCTTTTGTGACTAACATAACCAAAAAAACCACAAATCCATCTTCCCAAGTAAATGTAAGATTCCAAACTCTAATGTGTAGAGTCAAAAAGACGAAGGCCACATACAAAAATGCTTGAGAACACTAAAAAGAGAACACTAAGAAGAGGACTAATAAGTTGGCTCCCCCTATGATATAATGGGTGTCTCTCTTGTTGTATTTTTTTTTTTTTTTTTTGGACATTTCTACCTCATTAGAGTCATTCGTGTTTTATTATTTAGAGCTCCCAATCACTTCTGAGACACATATTGGCGATGTTTGGGAATGGTGGGTTGAGGCTATTATAGCCTGAAATGAGAAATAAACTAAAAAGCAAAACTGTTCAAAGTTTTTCAAAAAAAAAAAAAATAGGCTCAGCGCCGGACAGTACACTGTCGCAGTCTCAAAAGTCATCATCAACGGCTAAATTACCATTTTACCTCTTTACATCAATTTAAAAAATTATAATTTATGGACAAATTTGTCATTTTAAATTCAAACATCATTTCAACACACTTTTCAATACAACAACTCAACTAAAAATTCATCTCATCTTCCCAAACACAAAAACTAAAATAACCTATTAAAATAGTCAAAAAATCAAAAAATTTCTAAAATAGTCACTTCTCAAACGAGGCCATTATAGCTATCCCTGAAAATTAAGATTTCAAGGCAAATGCAATCCTTCTCTAGCTTCATTGACTTTTTATCTCTCTCATCTTATGCCTCATTTGACGATATCATTTTTTAGTTTAAAAGTTAAAAAATTATTAAAAAAATTAAAAAGTCAACAACTTCTATTAAAAAGTCAAAAAAATTCATTTTTTTCTACTTTTTACACATCTTTTTGTAAAAAATTTAAAAAATATTCTAAATATATTAATTTTTTTACATCATATTTTAGCCAAAAAATTAAAATATTATTAAAAAAATATGTTCCCCAACGAGGAGTAAAGTATTATAAGAGAACCTTATTAAAAAGAAAAATGTTATTTATCATTAATTTTTTTTATCAATTTATTTTACTTTCTAAGTGTATTGATTCATTAAAAATCAAGTTTATGGGTAGGATTCACACTAATTTTAAATAATAAAATTTACCATGCTACACTTCCTAATCATTTACCACTCATTATAATTAAATTCATCTTTCACTGAGTGTTTGTGAGATATAGTTTCAAAGGAGTAAAAATTATCTGTGATTTTTTTTAAATAAATAAAATTTTTAGTGATGAAGAGAAATTGAATTGAGAAGTTAAAACTTGAATATATTGTATGAGAAAGCATGCAACAAACAAACATGTATATTTCCCTTTCGACTACATAAAATATGATCAAGTAATCCTAAGAATTTTAGGATCCAAAGACAATAATAGAAAGACCATGAACATTACTCCAATGATTTTTTTTACGACTCTGAATGACGTTTGTATTCAATTCATTTGTCCCTCATGGTACTACTTGCTATAAAAAGGTCAATTATCAATTAACTTTGTTTGGAAACAAAAGAAAGATGGCGAAAAAAAACAAGAAAAAATATAAGTGGATTTAAAGGCAAAAGCAAAATGTGAAATGTGAAGGGACATTTAATTTGTATCTTATGAATCAGACGACAAAAAAAAAAAAACGTCTCATCCAAGTACATAATTATGAATTTGAACGTGGCATGTATTACCTCTAATGTTTGGATTTGTGAGATTTATTATGAGTTTTGTGTTGATAATTTAAATTATTTATTTGGTAAGATTTTGTGTGTATATTATTTTTAAAAATAATTAATTAATTCAATAATTTTTTATTATTATATATGTCTCAAAAAAAAAAAAAGATATTATTTTACCCTTTTAAAAACACACTTATCATCTATTTTTTCAAGACAAATACAATAAAATAAAAAAGATTTTTTTAGATTATAATGAAATAAAATAAAAAGATTATGACAATTTGATTAACTTAATTTTTTAATAGATAATATATATGTAAAAATTTATAAATTAACGATTTAAATCATTAAAATATAATTCGATGCGTTTCATGAACTCAAGCATAACATGGAAATTCATATTACGACTACATTTTTCTTTTTTACCTCTCTCCGCGTCCCTAAGTAAAACTTGATCCATATAGTTGTAACAACTTTGCAGTTGATAAAAAATTAGGTTTACTTTAATTGGCTACCATGACTCGGGTTTAGTTTTAAGAAGGACGTTATAAGTTAGAAAGTGTTAAATTAAGAGACAAAAACACTTAAGGAAGAGATTATTTACTGTACGGATTGTAATCCAAATGAAGCATCTAATCCGACATTTGTGTTTTTTTTAGTTCGCTGGACATGGAGTCCGGCCACACTCCTTATGCCTCATACGGGAGATTATACTATACTAA